CTTGTCACTTTTTGGAGGACATCACTGCTCCAAATGCAAGACCTGAACACCAATTACTAATGCACTTCAGAACGGTGTCCCTTTGCTACAGAAACTCTACCAGAATATTTGCAATCTAATAATTATACCAGATGCTGCTATATACTGTATACTATACTCTATATCTTTACCACTTGAAACTTGGAGTCCAAATACTGCCTATGTAGTCCCGGTATTAGCAAACCTTGCCTGAACCCCCCCAGTGGTAAAAACTAACTTATCAATTACCTGGTAAAAGTCCAATTAAAAGCAATTTCACCAGTCTAACTACCCAAGAATATCAAAAGATGATAAATCTAGAATTATAACTGAATATTAATCCAGCAAGACAACTACAATTATACTATTCTTGTAAATATTTGATTATAATTAAGAGACTAGACTATAATGAATTAACTATATCTAAATATTAATCCAGTCTTGTAAATATTTAATTATAATTAATAGACAATACTAATAATTATTTATATCTGAATCTTAATCCAGCAAGTCAACACTACTTATATTATTCTTGTAAATATTCAATTATACTGATGCTAAACTATGATAAATTATCCAACGTAAATTCAAGCAATTTATTTAAATAGCCCCAGCAAACATCAGCCAATAAACAAAGATTGTCCTTATAATGAAGCCTAATTAAGGCAAAACGTGAAGCAGCTTATCTAATAAATAAAAACTGAGTACTAATATATTGAAAGCTTATGCAAGACACAAAGCCCCCCCCCCAAATTAAAACATTGACCAGGCACAATATTTGAGAATAATTGAGAAACTGAGGGGGCCAGGGGGTTGGACATGCACCCACAAACATCCGCTTTTCTAATAATAAAATGCCTCAAGCCCGCACTTCCTATTCCCTCTTCCTTTCCATACCTTCTTATTGTTATTAATTAATCCCTATTGATTATATACAATGCTCCCAGCACTGTCCTTTGCTGGCTTAGTGGGCGCAGAAGCTGGCCTAATGGCCATGCCGCACCCCATCCTCCACTCCTTCCCTGCTTTCCCCCTTCTATATATATGACTGCCAAAAAGGAAAAGGCCCTTCCCTACTTTCCCCCTTCTATATATATATGACTGCCAAAAAGGAAAAGGCTGAAGGTAGGAGGAGCCCTAGGTCAAATACTCTCCCTCCTCCATTTTCTTGGCTCTCATTGCGAGATATCTCAGTTTCGCGCTATCCCGGGAATGGGATAATGGCGGCCCATGCAGCTGAAGAGCTCATCAGCGGACCGGGCATAGTCTCTCGAGACTGAAGGATGCCTACAAAGGACAGGTGTGTTTCTGCTGACAAAGAGAAAGGGTGTAAAGCATGATTTAAGAAAAAAAGTCCTTGGTGCCTCGCCCACACATTCATGCTGAGGCTGGTGAAACCTTGAAATTCCCCCACCTTGTTGAGACAACATTTTTCAACAAGAACTGAGACAGTGTCCAGATTCTTCTGTCTTCACTGACTCATTAAGGCAGGTAATTGACCTTTACGGGTTGGGAATTCATCCTGCTTCTTCAAATGCCCAACCTGCCTTCTCGTCACACACAAATAAAAAGCAGTACAAGGCTGGCCATCGAAACCAGGTTTATGTGAGAATAACACTGCATGTCTGCATGATGTGCACTTCCACTGTCCTTTCAAGCAAAAGGAATCGATTCGTCAACTGTCAATTTGAGTGTCAGGCTTAAAAGGTTGTTTAAGATTAAAATGTGAGACGTTCAGCTGTGAAACAGCCATTTGGGTCACGGCTGTATAGCTCCTGCCTTATCTTACCTGGATTTTTGATCATTCCAACAGATGTTTCTCAGCAGTAT